CCACCCCAACGTTGCCATCCATCCCCAACGCTTCCACCATCACCCCTGCCGACCATCACCCCAGCACAACCATCACACCAACACTGCAATCCCCCAACACTACCATCACCCCCAACACTGCCTTCCACCCAACGTTGCCATCCATCCCAGCATTGCGTTTCACCCAGCGTTGCCATCACCTCAAAGTGCCACCCACCCCAACACAACCATCACCCCCTTTGTCATCACACCCTTTACCATCACCCCCACTGTCATCACCCACAATGTTGCCATCCCACCCCAACATTACCATCACCCCAACATTGCCATCCACCCCAACGCTTACCTTCACACCCCAACGTTGCCATCACCCCCAACATTACAATCACCCAAACGTTGCCATCCCCCAAGTGCCGCCGTTTCCAGCACTGCCATCTCCCCAACATTGCCATCCCGTTCCAGCACTGCACTCACCCCAGCATTGCCATCTGCCCCAGCACCGTCACAGTGCTGCCATCCACCCAACATTGCCACCGTCACCCCAACGTTGCCATCCGTCCCAGCATTGCCATCACCCCCAACATTGCCATCACCGCCATTGCCGTCGCTTTCCAGCTGCCATCCATCAGCTGCCGTCTTACTCACATCGAACGTTGCCATCGTTCAGCATTGCCATCATTCCAAGACTGCCATCACCCCAACACTGCATCCACACCCCAACATTACCATCCATCCAGCACTACCATCACCCCAACGCTGCCATCTGCCCCAACGCTGCCATCACCCCAGCATTGCCATCACCCCCAACATTGCCATCCATTCAGCGCTACCATCCACCCCAGCGCTACCATCCACCCCAACATTACCACCACAACACAACCATCACCTCCAGCGCTTCCATCACCCAGCTGCCCATCCCACCCAATCGCTGCAATCACACAACGTGCCATCCACCCCAACATTGTCATCCCACCACCAATGTCATCCCACCCCAGCATTGCCATTCACTCCTTTACCATCCACCCCCAAACTGCATCACGCCACCAATGCTGCCATCCGCAACGTTGCCATCACCCCAGCGTTGCCATCCACCCCAACACTGCCATCCACCACCAATGCTGCCATCCACCCCCCAGCGTTGCCATCCACCCCAACGTTGCCATCCTGACCAATGCTGCCGTCACCCCAGTGCTGCCATCCACCCAGCACTGCCATCACCACCAATGCTGCCATCACTACGCTCTACACTCACCTTGCCATCCCCCCAACACTGCCATCCCCCCCAACATTGCCATCACCCACCATGCCATCACGCCTGACGCTGCCATCCACCCCAGACATGCCATCCACCCCAACGTTGCCATCCGCCGCAAGTGCTGCCTTCCACCCCCAGCGCTACCATCACCCCAACGTTGCCATCCACCCCAGCACTGCCATCACCACCAATGCTGCCATCCCAGTCCAGCACTTTACCATCACCCCAGCGTTGCCATCACCCCAGCACTACCATTCACCAACAATGCTGCATCACCCCAACGCTTCCACCATCACCCCAACATTACCATCCACCAACATTGCCATCCATTCCAGCACTGCCATCCACCCCAACGCCATCACCCCCAGCATTGCCATCACCCCAACGTTGCCATCCACCCCAACATTGCCATCCACCCCAGCACTGCCATCACCCCAATGCCAACGTTCGCGCCAGTGCTGCCATCCACCCCAGCGCCGTCACCCCAACGCTGCCGTCCACCCCCAGCGCTGCCATCACCCCAGTGCTGCCATCACCGCAATGCTTCCGTCACCCCAACGCTGCCATCACCCCAGCACTGCCATCACCCCAGCCACCTGTGCTGCCATGCACCCCCAGCGTTGCCATCCACCTGACACTGCCATCACACCCCAGCACTGCCGTCACCCCCCAGCACTGCCATCACCCCAGCAACTGCCATCACCACAATGCTGCCATCCACCCAGCACTGCCATCACCAACACTGCCGTCACCACCAATGCTGCCATCACCCCAGCGCTGCCATCCACCCCAGCGTTGCCATCACCCACCAGTGCTGCCATCCACCCCAACGCTGCCATCCACCCCAACGTTGCCATCTGCCCCAACACCATCCACCCCAACGCTGCCATCACCAGTGTTGCCATCACCCCAACGTTCTGCCATCGCCTGCCATCACTGACATCTGTCATCACCACCAGTGCTGCCATCCACCCCAACGTGCCATCACCCCATACCATCCACCCCAACACTGCCATCACCCCAGCACAACGTCACCACCAGTGCTACCATCACACTTGGCCATCCACCCCAACCTTTGCCATCCACCCCCATTTGCATCACCACCAATGTTGCCATCCACCCCCAACGTTACCATCACCCCAACATTGCCATCACACCCCAACACTGCCATCCACCCAAACACTACCATCTGCACCAATGCTGCCATCACCCAATGCTGCCATCCCATCCCAACACTACCATCCACCCCAACACTTACCATCCACCACCAATGCTGTCCACCCCAATGTTGCCATCACACCCCAACGTACCCAACCACCCAACACTACCATCACCGCAACATTGCCATCACCCCAATGCTTGCCATCACCGTGGCATTGCATCCACCCACACACTAACGTCACGCCGACTTTGCCGTCCCACCAGTACCGCATCCACCAGCACTGCCATTCACCACCAGTGCTGCCATCACCCCAACGTTGCCATCACCCCAACGTTGCCATCCCGCACCAATGCTGCCATCCCACCCCAAACGCCATCCACCCAACTTTACCATCCCACCGCAATGCTGCCATCCACCCCAACGCTGCCATCACCCCAGCCTTACCATCACCCCAACACTGCCATCCACCCCAACATTGCCATCACCACCAATGCTGCCATCCACCCCAACGTGCCATCACCCCAACGTTGCCATCACCCCAACACTGCCATGCTGCAATTCTGCCATCACCCCCAGCGCTGCCATCCACCAACACCATCACCTCGCGCCTCCACCAACATTGCCATCACACAACACTACCATCCACCGACACTACCATCACCGCCAATGCTACCATCCACCCCAACGCTGCCATCCCGCCCCAGCGTTGCCATCGCGCAATGCTACCATCCGCCCCAGCGCTGCCATCACCCTGACACTGCATCCCGCCCCAGCACTGCACCATCCGCACCAGTGCTGCCATCCACCGATGCCGTCCTCCCCAGCACTGCCGTCACACAACACTGCCATCCACCCCAGCAGTCTATCAGCCCCAACGTTGCCATCCACCCCTTTCTGCATCCACCACCAGTACTGCCATCACCCCCTTTACCGTCACGCTCCAGCATTGCCATCACCACCAATGCTGCCATCCACCCCAGCATCTGCCGTCACCCCCAGCATTGCCATCCACCCCCAGCTCTGCCATCCACCCCCCAGCCTGACCATCCTGCAAGCTGCCACCATCCACTGTGGCCATCCACCCCAACGCTTCACTCACCGCAACGTTGCCATCACCCCCAACGCTACCATCACACAATGCTGCCATCCACCACAATGCTGCCATCACCCCAACATTGCCATCACCCCCAACGCACCATCCACCCCAGCACTACCATCACCACCAATGCTGCCATCACCCCCAGCCTTCCACCGTCACCCCAACGCTGCCATCACCCCCAACCATTGCCATCCACTGCTTTGCCGTCCGTTCCAGCACTGCCATCCCCCCCAGCGCTGCCGTTCCCCCAGCGCTACCGTCACCCCAGCGTTGCCATCACCCCAACGTTAACCATCACGGCCAATGCTGCCATCCCCACCAGGCTGCCATCTGCCCCAGCATAACATTCACCCGCCAATTTCTGCCGTCCACCGGCTGCCATCACACACCAACACTGCCATCCCACCGTGTTGCCATCACCCCAACATTGCCATCCACCCCCAGCACTGCCATCCACCCCAACACTGCCATCCCACCACCAATGCTGCCATCCGCGAGCCGCTGCTGCATCCGCCCCAACATTGCCATCCACCCAGCACTAACCATCACCCCCAGCACTACCATTCACCGCCAGTACTGCCATCACCCCAGCGCTGCCATCCACCCCAGTGCTACCCATCCACCCCCAACGCTGCCATCATCCGCCCCAACTGCTACCATCACCCCAGCTTTTCACCATCGCACCAGTGCCATCACTTAGCATGCCCGTCACAGAACGTTACCATCACTGACGCTGCCATCACCACCAATGCTGCCATCCCGCAGTGCTGCCATCACCCCAAACTGCATCACCACCAACGCTGCCATCCCCACCCCAACGTTGCCATCCACCCCAATACTGCATCACCCCAACGCTGCATCACCCAGCACCGTCTTCCTCACCGTCACCACCAATGCTGCCATCCGCCCCAATGCTGCATCCGCACCACTGCCATCCACCCAACACTGCCATCACCCCCAGCACTGCCATCACCCCAGCGTGCTGTCACCATGTTGCCATCACCCAGCACTGCCATCACCCCCAACACTGCCATCACCCCAATGCTGCCATCACCGCACAGTGCTGCCATCCGCCGCCCAGCGTTGCCGTCACCCCCAGCGCTGCTGCTATCACCCCAGCACTGCATCCGCCTGATGTTGCCATCACTCCAACATTGCCATCACCCCCAACGCTGCCATCCGCCCCAGCACTGCCGTCACCCCGCAGTGCTGCCGTCCGCCCCAGCGCCGTCACTGACGCATCACTGGCATTGCCATCCGCCCTGACATTGCCGTCCGTTCCAGCACTGCCATCCACCTGGCGTTGCTGACGCTGCCGTCACCCAACGTTGCCATCACCCCAGCGTTAACGTTGCGACCAGTGCTGCCATCACCCCAACGCTTCACCATCTGCCCCCAGCACTACATTCACCGTCAATGCATCCACCCCCAACGCTGCCATCCACCCCAACACTACCATCCACCCCAACACTGCTGCATCACCACCAGTGCTGCCATCCACCGCAATGCTGCCATCACCCCAGCGCTGCCATCACCCCAACCGCGCCATCACCCCAACACTGCCATTCACCACCAGTGCTGCCATCCGCCCCAACGCTGCCATCCACCCCAGCACGTTATCACCTGACATCACCATCCACCCCAGCACTGCCATCCTCCACGCCAGTGCTGCATCACTCCAGCACTGCCGCCACGCCCCCAACGTGACCATCACCGCCAGTGCTGCCACCCAGACATTTGCCGTCACTGACATTGCCGTCACCAGCACTGCCCCAGCACTGCCGTCACCGCCAGTGCTGCGTCACCCCAGCGCTGCCATCACCCACAGCGTTACCATCCCACCCTTTACCATCCACCCCCCAGCTTCCAGCATCACCGCCAATGCTGCCATCACCCCAGCACTGCCATCACCCCAACACTGCCATCCACCACAATGCTGCTCATCACCCCCCAGCGCTGCCATCACCCCAGCAGTTACCGTCCACCACCAATGCTGCCATCCACCCCAGCTTGCTGCCATCACCCCAACGTTGCCATCTGCCCTGGCTTCTACCCATCCCACTGCATCTGCCATCCACGCCAATGTTGCCATCACACCCTGACGTTACCCAGTCTGCCCCAACGCCATCACCCCAGCATCATCCCACCGCCAATGCATCCAGCACCAGCGTTACCCATCACCCCAGCGCTGCCATCACCCCAGCACTGCCATCACCCCAACGCAACCATCCACCAGTACTGCAATCCCCCCCAACGACCATCCCGCTGACGCTGCCGTCACCCCAGCACTGCCATCACCACGATGTTGCCATCACCCCAACATTGCCATCACCCCAGCGTTGCCATCACACCCCAACACCATCCGCAAACGCAAATCACCACCAGTGCTGCCATCACCCGATGCTGTCCGTCCCAGCACTACCATCACCCCCAGCACTCCGTTCACCACCAGTGCTGCCATCACCCCAATGTTGCCATCACCCCAGCATTGCCAACCACCCCAACACTGCATCACCACCAGTGCTGCCATCACCCATGCTGCCGTCACCGTGGCTGCCATCACCAACACTAACATCACCCCCAGCACTGCCGTCCCGCCATTGTACGCTGTCACCCCAACGCTGCATCACCGCCAGTGCTGCCATCACCCGACGTTGCCATCCACCCCGGCGTTGCCGTCACAACCAATGCTGCCATCCACCCCAGTGCTGCCGTCACCCAGCAGCTGCCATCACCGCCAGTGCTGTCTGCATCACAGCACGCTGCTATCACCCAACCTTGCCATCACCCCAGCACTGCCTCCACCCCAACATTGCCATCACCGCCAGTGCTGCCATCCCCAGCGCTGCCAGCCACTGGCGCTGCAACCACTGGCGTTGCCGTTCACCGCAATTGTCCATTCACCCCAACGACCGTCACCCAGCGTTGCCATCCGCCCAAGCACTACCGTCACCACCAATGCTGCCATCCAGTCCAGCGCTGCCATCACCCCAAGGTTTGCCATCCACCCGCACTGCCATGCCGCAATTTCTGCCATCACCCCAACGCTGCATCCCACCCCAGCATTGCCGTCACGAATGTTGCCTCACCCCAACGTTGCCATCCCCCCAACACTGCCATCACACCCCAGCACTGCTTCACCGCCAGTGCTGCCATCACCCCAACGCTGCCATCCACCCCATCGCTGCCGTCACCCAAACACTGCCGTCACCGATGTTTGCCCATCCACCCCAACGCTTGCGTCACCCCAACGTTGCCGTCACAACACTGCCATCACCCCAGCACTGCCTTTACCGCCGTGCTGCCGTCCCGTCCCAACGCTGCCATCACCCCAGCGCTACCATCACCCCAACACTGCCATCCACCACCAATGCTGCATCACCACCAATGCTGCCACCACACAACGTTGCCATCCAGCATTGCCATCTGCCCCAACACTGCATCACCGCAATGCTGCCATCACCCCAGTGCTGCCATCACCACCAGTTAACTGCCATCCACCCCATTGTTGCCATCTCTGCAATGCTGCCATCACCCCAATGCTGCCATCACCGCCCAATGTTGCCATCCACCCCAACCTTCGCCCATCTGTCTCATCCCCAGTATCATCCCCCGACGTTGCAATCTGCCCCAGCGCTGCATCCACCCCAACATCATCCACCACCAATGCTGCCATCCCGGCCAACGTTGTCATCCCACCCAACGCTACCATCACCCCAACACTTCCATCACCCCAGCACCATCACCCCAACGTTGCCATCACCCCAACACTGCGTCACCCCCAGCACAACCATCCTGCACCAATGCTGCCATCACCCCAGCGACCACTTCAACGCTACCGTCACCCCCCAGCTGCTGCATCCCGCCCCAGCACAACCGTCACTCACCAGTGCTGCCATCACCCACAACCGTCACCCAGCGTTGCACATCACCCCAGCAATGCCATCACCCCAGCACTGCCATCCTGCAATGCTGCCATCCCACAGTCGCTGCATCACCCCAAAGTTACCATCCACCCCAGCACTAACCTCACCCCCAGCACTGCCATTCACCCCAGTGCTGCCATCCACCCCAACGCTGCCATCACCACCAATGCTGCCATCCCGCACAACGCTGCCATCACCCCAACGTTGCCATCCACCCCAACAATGCCATCACCCCAACACTGCCCCATGCTGCCGCCCATCCTCCCAACGGTGCCATCACCCAAACGTTGCCATCCGCCAGCACTGCCGTCACCGCCAGTGCTGCCATCCAGTCAGTGCTGCCATCACCCCAGCGTTGCCATCACACCAACACTGCCATCTCACCAATGCCAACATCACCCAAACGCTGCTGCACCGTCCGCCCGCGCTTCCATTGCACCCCAGCTTGCAACCATCACCAATGCTGCCATCCCCATTAGCCTTTACCATCACCCCCGTTACCCATCACCCCAGCACTGCATCACCCCAGCACTACCATCCCGCCAATGCTGCCATCACCCCAACGCTGCCATCACCCCAACATTTACCATCACCAGCACTGTCATCCACCCAGCACTGCCATCACCCCAGCACTGCCTCACCACCAGTGCTGCCATCACCTCACGTTGCCATCACCCCAACCTGCCATCACCACCAATGCTGCCATCACCCCCAGCTGCCATCCCACCCCAGCGTTGCTATCACCACCAGTGCTGCCATCACCCCCAGCGTTGCCATCCACCCAACGTTGCCATCACCCCCAACCACTACCATCACCAACATTGCCATCCGCAACATTGCCATCCCGTTCCAGCACTGCACCATCACCCCCAAGCGTGCCGTCGCCCAGCGCTGCCGTCACCCCAGAGCGTTGCCATCCGCCCCAACATTAACGTTCGCATGATGCTGCCATCCACCGACGCTGCGTCTGCACCCCTAACGTTCACCGCCAGTTTGCTGCCATCACACAACGCTGTCCGCAACGTTGCCATTCACCAGTGTCATCACCCCAACGTTGCAATCTGCCCCAACGCTGCCATCACCCCAGCAACATCATCACCACCAATGCTGCCATCCCGGCCCAGCATGCCATCCACCCCAACGCTGCCATCACCCCAACACTTCCATCACCCCAGCTTTGCCATCCCCCCAACGTTGCCATCACCCCAACACTGCCATCACACCCAACACAACCATCACCACCACCAGTGCTGCCATCACACTGCGACCGTCACTCCAGCGCTGCCATCCACTGGCACTGCCATCGCCCTTCGTCATCACCAGTGCTGCCATCACCCCAGCGACCATCCCACCCCAGCGTTGCCATCCACCCCCAGCAATGCCATCCACCCCAACACTGCCATCACCACCAATGCTGCCATCACCCGAACGCTGCCATCACCCCCAAAGTGCCATCACCCCAGCACTCCATCCCCCCAGCACTGCCGATTACCGCCAGTGCTGCCATCACCCCCAGCGCTGCCATCACCGCCAGTGCTGCCATCCGCCCCAACGCTGCCATCCACCCCAGCGTTGCCATCCGCCCCAATGCCATCCACCCCCAGCACTGCCATCCACCACCAATGCTGCCATCCTCTGGCGGTACCATCACCCAAACGTGCCATCCGCGCCAGCACTGCATCCTGCACCAATGCTGCCATCCCGTCAAGTGCTGCCATCACCCCAGCGTTGCCGTCCACACGCCAACGCCATCTGCCACCAATGCTAACATCACCCAAACGCTGCCATCCATCCCAACGCTGCCGCCACACCAACGTAACCATCCACCACCAATGCTGCCATCGGCCCAATGCTGCCATCACCCCAAATTTGCATCCACCCCAGCTCTGCCATCACCCCCAACACTGCCATCACGCCACCAATGCTGCCATCACAACGTGCCATCCACCCCAACATTGCCATCACCCCAGCACTGCCATCCACCCCAGCACTGCCATCCACCCAACACTGCACCATCACCACCAGTGCTGCCATCCACCCCAACGTTGCCATCAGCCCCAGCACTGCCATCACCAATGCTGCCTCACCGACGTTGCCATCACCGCCAGTGCTGCCATCACCCCCAGCGCTGCCATCCCCTCCAGCGTTGCCATCCCCCCAGCACTGCCATCACCCCAACATTGCCATCACCCCAGCATTGCCATCCGTTCAACACTGCACCATCCACCCCAGCTTGCTTTACCATTTACACCAGCATACCATCCCCACCCAACCGTCGTGCTGCCATCACCCAACGCTGCCATCTGCCCAACACTAACATTCACCAGATACTGCCATCCACCCCAACGTTGCCATTCACCACCAGTGCTGCCATCACTCTGACGCCTGCATCACCCCCAGCGTTGCCATCACCCCAGCACTGCCATCCACCCCAACATTGCCGTCCCCAACGTGCCATCCATTCCCCCTTTCTACATCCACCCCCAACGCTTCCACATCTGCCCCAGCGCTGCCATCCGCCCAAACGTTGCCGTCACTGACGTTGCCGTCACTGACACTGCCATCACGCCCCAACGCAACGTTCGCCATGATGCCGTCCACCGCGCGCTACATCACAACCACTGCCATCCGCCTGACACTGCCATCACCCCCAGCACTGGCATCACCACTGATGCTGCCATCACCACCAATGCTGCCATCACCCCAGCGCTGCATCACACCAGCACTGCCATCCACCCCAGCACTACCATTGCCACCTATGCTACCGCCACACCCCAATGTTGCCATCCACCCCCAACGCTGCCATCACCCCAGCACTGCCATCCACCCCAGCAGCTGCCATCACCCCAAGCAACTACCATCCTGCCAATGCTGCCATCACCCCAGCACTGCCATCACCCCAACACTGCATCACCAATGCTGCCTATCACCCCCAATGCTGCCATCACCCCGGTTACCATCACCGCCGTTCTCCATTCACCCAGCTTTACCCATCACCCCAGTGTGCCATCACTGACGCTGCCATCACCCCAGCGTTGCCATCTCGCGCTACCATCACCACCAATGCTGCCATCACACCCCAACGTTGCCATCTGCCCCAACGCTGCCATCCACCCCAGCAACATCATCCCACCACCAATGCTGCCATCCAGCACCAACGTTGCATCACACCCCAG